CTCTCCCACAACCTCAGTGATCTATCAATATGTAGAGGTTGCACCCCCAACTATTCGTCCTTTAACTCAGTGTTTCTCAACCTCAGCAATTTTAATATTTGCAGACCTTAACTTCTAGAATTCCCCAAGCAGAACTGTATTAAAAGACTGCAGTGAATGAACTTGGACCTTTTGTATTTAAAACATTAAAACATAATCTCTGCTTCTGTTTTGTCCTCCGAGTTTGAGTTTTAGGAGGGATTTATGTATCTTATCTACTCACAACTTATAGTAGAGAGAGATTTTACCTCCATAGGTTTCTCTACAGCATCTTTGCAAGATTTTCACCAGCTGTGTGTCATAATCAGTTTTCTCTATCATTGCAACCCCCAGATTTTTCATTACAATTCCTGTTATTCTTTTCTACTGGCAAGAATACCTATAATTTTTCATTTTCCAAATAAAACATTTTGTAAAGTTTCTTTTTTGTTCAACTTTCTTAAATCTATTCTGTTCACAAACAGAATTTCCTAGTACACACTGTGGAATGGACTACATATGCAGCAAAAATGGAATTCAAAGCTAGGTACCATGTTAGTCTGAGAAGCAACTGAGAAATGTAGATGAATAATGCTTGGCAAAAGGGAACAGTCAATAGGCAAATCATAACTTGAACATTAGTTTCCTGATTAATGTGTAACTGGTTATAAAAAGATAGGGGGAGGGAGGACTTGAAAAGATAGCCTTGCCGAGGAGACAGGATATCCTTTGTTTGCAATCTCTGTTAAACCGTCCCTGGCAAATGCAGAAACTGTAAACTCTTTTAATGCTCAGCAGTTGGGAGAAACATTCCAGAGCAAGCAAGAATGGGCCCTGCTGTCTCATTACATTTCACATGCGGTTCTGTTTGGCTGAAATCTGCATCTAACATGCAGATTTATGAATAAATGGGATGGCCTGGCAAAGCACACGATGCACACAAAGGAAAGAAACAAGAGATTTTTAAAATTGCCAGATGGGAAGATGGATTTTTCCTGCCTGTTGCATATTTGCTCAGTTTTGGCTTTTCTTGTGGTTGTCTGTGTGTGTATGTAGAGGGTACATGTATTTTAAGTGGCAGATAAGTCAATTAATAGTAGTAACCTCCTTAGGGGGAATAAAAAAGAAAAGAAACCAGAAATGGATTTGTTAGCAATATGCACAGAAGGATACCCTGCACCAAGAACTGGATATAAAACCAATTAAACGGGCTCAACCGAACTAGATTCCCCTGCTGTGTGCTAAGCATTTAAAACACCTTGAATGAAGTCTGAAATCCTACTTGGTTGAAGTTGCACAAGGGGCTGCATAAGAAGAAAGGCTCCTGAATATTCTAAGCTGATTTGGGGTTGGGATATTATTAACAGAGACCTCCAGCATTCACTGAAATTCTATCCAGCAATTGGATGCAAAAGGGCATCAGCTCATCTCCATACTAGCAATACCTGTTCAGAAATGCAAAAAAAATGCAGCCCCTTGGGAAACAAAGCAGGCTGCTTCAAAATCACCTCTACTCCCAGGAGGCAAAACACGCTTTTCAAAGGCCACCCAGCCCTACGGCCATGTTGCTGTCCCCTTCCTACCAACTGCTGCCTCACTGGTCCATCTTCACCAAGATTCTTTTCTTGCAAGGCTTCATAACCAAAGACCTCTAGGTGTAGAAGTTCTGTGACTGCAAGCACTCCAACTGCTGGCCAAATAAGGGTCTTGAACCAAAAATGGACAAGTATGGCAGGGAGAGCAAGGAGCAGATATGCAGGAAGGGATAAATGAGGAGTAATGGACAGTCTGTGATCCAAAGCATTCACGTAATAGCATTCTGAAGAAAACAGCCAGGAAGACATCTTACTCGCTATGGCTGCTTCCAACACTGGAAAAGTCTTAGAATTTGGGCTGAAACTGCTTTCATTACAACTTTTGTAGGAATGTCCATTTTCAGCAAGAACCCAGGCACAGAATCCAGGGTGACCTCCACAGCAGAAGCCTTCAGATCATTAGGCATCATAGAAGTCAACCAGTTCTGAGGACAATGAGCCTTTTACTGGGGAAGGGGTAGGATTCCTTGCAAGTCACACAGGAAACTGGTGCAGGATGTTCACCCATGTTTCAAGCTCAGTAGCAAACCTGAGATCTACTTTCACATTTAGGTTTAAAAGAGCATGCTTAAATTAGCTCACTGGCTGCTTGTTTTAGCTTCCAGGGCAGTTATGAATCATTTTTCACCACTTGGCAATCTCATACAGAGCATTTATCCCTTATACTAGTTTCTTATTGCACAGCTTGAAATTTTAATGCCAGCGTCATACAATCAGTTTCGTAGAAAACTTCACAGGCGGAAGCGGGGAGAAAATACACATGAACCTGCAATTTCACCCCCTCCTCCCAGTAAATATAAATAGAACCATCAAACGATATAAACAAATTCAAATATTCTGAATCCGTATTCTACTGTCTGGAAAGGCTGTTTTAGAAGGCAGAACTGTAATATTTTTCTAAGCCAAATGCAAAGTTTCACATTCTTTGTAATGCTTACTCTTCAAAATGGTAAAGCACACACTTTTCATACTTGAAAAGAGGGAGAGCAGGTAATCATAAAGACTGTTGTCTACCCAAAGACCCACTGTCAATTATATTGTGAGGGTTATGCCCACTCTCTAAAAACTAAAGAGAAAACCAAATAATGATATTCCAGGTTATCTAAGCAAACTGGTGAACCTATTATGTTCCGAGTTTCTATCATGTATATTCTGTTACATTAGCGCAGGGGTGTCAAACTCAATTTCATTGAGGGCCGCATCAGCATTGCGGTTGCCCTGGGGGGTGGTGGCCAGGGGGGGTGGCCTACTGGGTGGGCGTGGATGGAGTGGGTGTGGCCTACTGGGTGGGCATGGCCAACTCTACATCGTTTGCGTCAAGGGTGCCTGTGGGGGCCTGGGCAGGAGTGGGACAGATCTGAGGGTCTCTGGCAGAAGGTGGTGGGACCGGGGCAAGCACCAAGGCATGGTCCATTTTGTCATTCCTCACAAAGGTAACACTTCCCCAGCATGCACCCAGGGGGTGGGGCCAACGCGGTAGGGGCTGGTTCCTCACTGTTTCTGGACGGCCTTGTGGAGCTAAGACTGAATGCGTTTCAGCATAGATGGTCACCATAAAATTGTACACTGTCTCCTGGCCGGCCTGGGCCAGGGCCAAGGCAGCGGGGGCCGTTCCCTCACTGTTTCCAGGATGGCTTCGTGGGCCACATGAAACCACTTCGCGGGCCGCATCCGGCCCCCGGGCCTTGTGTTTGACATGTCTGCATTAGCGGAAGAAAATACATGAACTTCCCATGCATTCTTATATGTGTATTTAAAAATTATACATTGAATGCATTTGCTTCCATACCTGGGTTGAAAAGATGACATGAATTAAACCAGAACTTGGCAGCCTTTTTATAGCCCTTAAACTATTTCATATAATGGCTGAGGCAAGTTCTCTCTCTTCCCTTCAAAATTTGGATAAGGCTTCTAAAAAAAAAAAGGTTGGATTTTTCAAAATTAAAAACCATCCAGGTTTAGGGATCAAATAAACGTTGCAACTTCTGCATTATGTAGAAGAACCCTTTTTTTAATCCAAATTATTGGCTTTAATACTTTCTTGCTATATCTAAACTACAATTCTCATGCCCTGTATCTTCCCCCATAAAAGCATTTGAAAATAGTGCAAGACATTTTGATAGAACACCAGTTGCAGAACACTGAAATCTGACAATAGCAGTCCTTGTCAGCTTCAAACAAAATGCAGAAAATTATTTTACATGAAATGCAGTAAAGCTGGTTTTCGGGATAGAATTATTCTTTCAAAAGACTTGTAAAAACAAGTTATTTAGACATTTTTACAATATAGCACACTGATGCAACCAGTAGTCATTTAGTGTAATTTATATTTGTTAACAATATGTTAACTTCCTCACTTAAATTATACTTTCTCATTAACAAATACTTCTAATGGAGAATGTCTTATCAACACGGTATCAGAATAAATTTAAGACTTCTAGTATTATCTAGTCAAAATATGATATCTAACTGAAATCTACAATTAAAAGCATATATTAGTAAATATTGAAAATATAATTACATTGCTATGTATGTAGATAGGAAAATCTACATCACCAAAACCAAATAAGCAACATTAGAATTTTATGGGGTTTTTTTGCATTTCTAAAGCTATATATAGGCTTAAACAATAGACAAGTGAAATGCTGTAGCTTAGTCTGTATTTGCTATTATCCTTGCACACAATACTAGTTCACTTTCCTAAAAAATAAAAAACTTATTTTGCTTGCCAAAAAACCCTGCCCTCAGTCAAGGTCACACAAAGTTTTGCTGAAGTTTAGACGAAACACACTAATGGAGGGTGTACCTAAAAGCTTGCCAGTATTTCCTCCTTGCTTCTAAACTCCCTGGATTTTAAGTAATTATGGAGAATAAAAATGGTTAAACAATTCCATATGAGGTAAAGACAGAGGAAGGAGGGAGGGAGAATGAGAGAAGCAGAAGTCTCTGTTTCCTGGCAGACATTTTGGCTCTTGTTTACATTTGCAGTCTGTGTTTCTCTTGTTGCAGAGCAATATGGCTGTCTGTAGAGCTGACAGCTTTGAATGCACAACCACTGCTGGCTGCAGGCTCTTGTTCCCTCCCAGTATCAAAGGTTGTGTAAAATTATGCAGACGTTGCATATCCGACACAAGGAGTTCCTCCTTGTATTTACATGGCTTGACAACTCAAGCACTGCTCAGCGTGGTCTTTTATTTCTCTTTTATACCTTGCTTTCCAAGGGAATGGAAAGCTAAGGATAGTTTGGATTTGATCATGGAAACAAGAAAGCTCAAGGCATTAAAAACACAGGCAGACTATTTACCTAATGTAAATTTCCAATGCTCACAAAAGGAGGGGGGAGGACTGTGTGGAACAATATGAACCTCAGACCTTTGAAGTACTTACCATTTGATGATGGTGATGGGTGTTGGGAATGTTGGTTTCTTGAAAAAATGCACTCAAAGCCGTCTATATTTAAAAAAACACACATGCCTATTGTTAGAACAAGGGGCTACAACCCCAAGGGAAAAGTTAAGTTGGAGGGGAAGAACAGCAACATATTTTTACAGGGACATTCTTGCCCAGCCCATTACTCTCCCTCCCTCCCCCTTCCTTTTTTTTTTTAAGCACTGACCTAGGACAATGCTAATCTTTCCTCTCCCTTTGGGGAAGGATGGGGAAAAAAGCAAACCACAAACACAGCACAAGAGGATAACATACCCATAAGTAATCATTGTCAGCCTCAACTAGGTATTGTAACCCACAAGCCAATAGACCATAGCAGCTAGGTGCCATCCTCCAAACGGGGATGAAGTGAACTGTAGTCCAACACAGTAGGAACAAAGCTGGTTGGGGAACATTTTAAAATGTAATAAGAAAGTCTCTATCCCTAACACGTAAAAAAAAATGGCAGAGCAACAAAAATGTGTAGTTTTAAAAGGCAACATGGGGGTGGGGATTGGTTTCATGGAAGCTAAAGACAAGCTGATAGCTTTTGTAAGTATAATGCTATGCCCAGCAGAAATGGACAAAGACATTTATCTTTGTTGATGCCAAGGGCTTGGCTGAAACCAATCTTTTCCTCCTCGTCTTGTAAATCAAAACAGAGGAGGTATTTAAAACATTGTGGCTAGACCAGGGAAGGATTCGGCCATATGTAAACAAACAAGACTCCTTTAAAAGCAAGAATTTCTAACCACATCTCAACAGTTATCTAGTTTCTTCTCCAGCTAAATAAAGACCACACATACTAAGCAGCAGTTATTAGCAGGCCTAGTTCAGAGACTAACGTCCCCACTGCTTCCCTAAATAATGGGGGGAGGGGGGGGGAGGAACAGTTTCCTTGATATTCCTTTGCTACAAGGAAAGAAATGGGGGGGGGGGCAAGCTAAACCTTCACACTCAACCAAGGCATGCCCCACTCTTCGTTAGACATGTTTGCACGATCCATGGAGGAATACTTTAAAACCATTTATTCCATCTGAATGCTCAAATTAGCCCCCCCCTTCCCCCCCCCAAGTAAGCTGTGTGATCACGCGTTCTGCACTCTCGCCGCCTGGCCAATTCAAGAATATTAATGTTGTCCACCCGCTTCTCCTCCTCCCCTTTTTCCCACGACCAGCAGCAACAACAGATTAGTCAACACGCAAAGGCCTAGCACATTCCTAGCCCCGGAAGGCACTCATTGTAGAAAAGAGACAGTAGTTATTAAAATGGCTCTGATGGATTGTTTACATGCCCAGTGCCAAGGGAAAGGCTCCCTTCGCCTTACACGGGGGAGGGAGGGGTGTGTGGACGCAGCGCAATAGAATATCCCGTAAACCATTCGCAGTCACCAAATTAGCAAGGCGGGGGAGGGTGGTCGTAGTGATTCTTGTTCGCCTCCCGCGAAGAAAGGCGGAGAGGGGAGAGACGGAGAACCAGAAAAGCTCGCAACGCACCTCAAATTGCCAATGTGCAGCTTGCAGTAGCTGCTTCGCTTGATCCGCCGCACAGCCCGCAGCCAGCACGAACTGGTTAATCATGACTTGATGCCGAAGTTCCTCCATATTCACCGACATGGCGAGAGAAGCGAAACCACAACACGGAAGGGAGGAGGAGAGCCAAACGCACCCAAGGTGGTGGTAGTGGTGGCGGCGGCTGGGATACGTGTTTTTTTGGGGGGAAGGAAAAAAAATCGACAAAGGCTTCTTTTCTCCTTTTTCCCTTCTAGCCCGAAATGCCAGGCGCTTTCTCCGTTCTGAGGCTTTAAGCTAGCGCTCGCCGGGTTCGAGCCAAGCCGCCTCTCTGCCTCTAGAGCTTCAGTCGGCAGGAACAAGGCTGTGTTGATATTTCCCCTTCCCCTCTCGTAGTTCTTCGGCAGCTAAACCACCACAAACAACAGCATCTAGGGGAGGAGCATGTGGAGAGAATCGGGGTGGGCAGAGGGGGAAGCCGGAGGTGCCTCAACGTTCAATTCCACGCTTTCTTAGCCCGCTGATTGGTTGCTGCAGTATTCTCTGCGTGTATGAACGTTCGATTCGAATCTTCCAGGCGGTGGATGTTTCTCTTTCTTTCTCCCACCCCTTCTGCCCCGTTGCTTCTATTTCATTGGAGAAAGTAAACCATCAGGCTCCTTGTTCATTGGTTAGCTGCTGTGTTTTGGCTGAGAACGAGGTCGTTATTGGTCTTTTTTTCTCGTAAGGGAGGGGTAAAACTATGCTCTTGTTTGAACTGAACTGGAAATTTTACTCCCTTTGTTGATTGGCTGCTTTGCTCCCTCCTCCTCCTCCCGTTCTTTTTTCCACTGTTGTAAAAAAAAAAAAAGCAGAACAAAAAAGTATAGCTATAGACAGCAAGTTCATTGATAAACTTGTGTGTGACAAATATATCCAGCTGGAAAAGCAAGGATGTGCAGCAGTGTCTCATTTCCTTTGAAAATTACACGATTATCCTGAAAGCGAACTTTATCATATAATTAAAAAAGGTAGAACATTCACAGTTCTTATCGGAAACTACGCTCTCGCGAACTTCCGGATCCTTATTACTCAAAGAACGAAGATCGGAAATGTTTATTTTTTTTTTAGAAATCTATATTAGAGTTTCTTTTACTAAGTCATAATGGAATGAACTGCTAGTAACTTCCTTTTGAAAAACCCACAGTGTTACAGAAATACGGAACTCGCCTTTTTTCTTTCATTTTTTTTTTTTTTTGGTCTTGAATGAAAGAAAGCTCAATCACACGCCCAACATTTGCGGTCCTCTAAAATGGAAGCGGTCCCCTTCAGTCAGTTCCTGAGAACTTCTTGCTCTGTACTGACAGATGTGGATCACAGTTAGCGTAGGTTAGATTGACATTATGATGTCGGACGGAAAATTCACTTTTTGTCTTAGGGCCATTCCCTGACTCTTAACACAAAAAGGGCAGCTCTTACAAAAGTAGCCACTACTTTATTTCAAAGTGTAATCAGCTTTGAATGCTAACTACACACATAACAGCTTTAATACATGGCAGCTGCATTTAGAAATGAGCCGAGTTTGATTAAAACTGCAGCTGTGGAACTTTTGTGAGACTAGAAGTCTTTTGGGGCCCAAAGGTGAATCACATGTAAAACCATATGAAACCAGGTCTACCTATCATGTGACAGTTCAGATATAAAAATAATGTGATAAGGGTCTATGTTAGATTTAGTGGCTCTGACCTCTACCCTGACCTGTTTTGAAAGGGTTTGGTAGGCTGACTTTGGTTTCATAAACTTAAGAGTTGAGCTAAATTTATTGCTGAGGGTTTTGCCTCTCCATATGTTAATGTGGGATAAGAAGAGAAGGGTGGCTTTGCTAAATCAAACCTGCTTCATGTGATCTAACACAGGCCCAACGAGCTGTTTCTTACACATTGTTACAGCTGGAACTTTACCTTCAGTAAGCTTCACTATGTCCCTTCTTAGTTTTGCTTTCTCGGCATAAAATTCATTAGTTTACACTGACTTATGTTTGGATTGCATTTGAGTTACCATTTTAATGAACCCAACCAGAGAAATCCTCTTTAATCTGTACACAGCTTTTGCTTTTTTGATTCATTTGACATCAGCTGTACTCTTGATTTTCTCGTGCCAACAAATCATCAATAAAGCGCTGGAGAATTTCACACTAATATAACAGCTGTGTTTACTCATTAGACTATATCCCATTTTTCATTCATGAATTCAAGACAGCAAATAAAGCACTTGTCTTCCTATTCTTTTTTGCCCACAAAATATGACATTGTAAAGTGGGTTGGGATGAGAGAGTAATTGGCACAAATTTATTCATTCATGCCAATGTTGACTTATGTGTCGTGTGAAAATACTGTATTATGTTTATTTTTCATACCAGGGTGCTGAAGCATTATAATTCCATTCTGGGCTAATCATTTCCTGTAGATCAATTTATGACACTAAAACATGCTGGGACAGGCAGTCTTTTGAGGAAGTTTGGTTATAGCCTGATCATGGGTATACTTATTAGGGGGGGAAACACACCTCCTGCCGCTCCCTAATTCAGTTGCACTTCAAACTCGGGTAAGTGCAATTATGCAATAGTAAC